AAAAAAGAAAAAAAAAAATAATACTCTTATAGTTCATCTAACATACTTTTTAGCTTTATCTTCCTACTGTAAACTATGGCTGGTATGTTTGGCCAACTCAGATTTACAGGAACATGTTGAAATTTGATTTTTTTTTTTCTTTTACTATAAAAAGCTTTTTGCAGTTTCAGTTCTGATGTTTAAAATAAGTTGTCATTTGATAATTTTATATTGTATACTTTTAGTGCTTATTGTACTGTATTAGAAATTAGTTCATTGACTCCTATGTAACCTTCCTTAGTAGTGAGTCATTTTTGTTTTAAGAAAGATGTACCAATCTTACTACATTTTTCTCTCTTTTTAGTTAAAAGAAAGGAACAAAGGATTTGATGTAGGCAGTAGCTCTGTTCTAGTCTGTTCTGGTTAGCATTGTCTGGTGTATTTTAGTCTTACTTGTGCTATACTTTAAGAGGACCATTAACAAACTAAAGGACCCAGAAAGGGGCGAATGGGGTGATGTTGGCCATCATAACCGTGGATATACTTAATACATTTAATCTGGAGAATAGAAGACTGTGAGGAAACATCTCTTACAAATACTTGTTAGGATGCCATGTGAAATAGGGAACTTGCATTGTGTTGTCTGAAATCATGGTGAAGCCACTAGAGAAAGTTATGGAGCAACAGGTTTTGCTCAACATGAGGAAGAACTTTCTAGGAACTAGTGATAACTAGCAATGCAGAATGGAGCTCCTTTTCTCTAGAGATATTTAATTGTAGGGTAGATATCCTTCCATTAAATTCCTGAGAAACGGCTTCTTCATCAGTGAAAGCTGATCTCTAAGGTGTTTTTAAATTTTTCAGATTATTTTTTGACATTGAGCTACTTGCTTAGCTTTGAAATGTTTTGTGTTTTTCAGACCAGTGAGTGGAGGCTAAGCTATGTCAATAAGGAATTTGCTGTCTGTCCCTCATACCCACCAATCGTCATAGTGCCCAAATCCATTGACGATGAAGCTCTTCGGAAGGTAGCTATGTTTCGACATGGAGGGCGCTTCCCGGTACTAAGCTACTATCATAAAAAAAATGGAATGGTGAGTGTGGAGTTCTGCTGCTTGATCTTTTCTTAGAAGTGTCCCCTTTTCTATGTACCTGTCATTGTAGTGATTGGCCAGGTCTCTCCTACTAGGACTTCCTTCATGTAAACCTCAGAGAATCAGGAATAGGGTGTCTTCTGTGTTGAAGATAAGACTGTGAATTCTTTCCATGATCCCTCTCAACCTTAGAAAAGCCCAGATAGATTTATCTTCAGGACACTGTACAAAGGAAGCTAGTGTGTATATAATGCTTACAGCAACGTTCATAAGGTAGAAAGATGAGAAATTTCTCTGCCCAGTATAATGTGTGAAAGGTGAATTGAGCATTTTTATTTTCAAAGGGAGAAGAGTGACAAATGTCATTTAGTCACAACTTTAGTAAACACGGGAGTCAAGATTGAATAGGCAAGGGCTCACTGTGTATTTATTTCCCAAGTATTTTCTAAATCTCTTTGTCCCCTCTCATTTTGTCAGTCAGTAAACTCTGCTTCTCATTTTGAATCCATTAATAAATTAGTGGATGAGTTATAGCTATCTTTCATTTTCCTTTTTTCCCCTGATAATATGTCAAAAAATTGATATTTAGGATAGAAAGATGCTTAAAAATTTACTACTTTGGCATCAGGCTTGCTCAGTAGAGTTGCTCTTCAGAAGGATTTATTATAAAGCATTTTAACAACTTATATTAAATATAGTGTTGTATCTCTTTGAGTGACAGGTGCTGTCTGAAAGGTAACCGTTGTCATCCTCTGGGTAACCTTTCTTGGTCATATTAAAGGTCACAGTAACTAAGATAATAGTATATAATGATGGTCTCTTGAAATAACTCTAAACCATTCACCAGAGAAGAGATTAGTATGGTAGATAGTATGGTAGATAGTATGAGATTAGTATGGTAGATAATGATTTTTTAAAAAAAAGATTTCAAAAGCAAGTCTTTCAGAATATATGGTTGGTAAGGTAGCCTTTAGAGACAGATGGTTAAGTCTGGAATGCTGAAAAGGGTGGCAGAGGCCACTGGAGAATAAACAATGGACAAGCACCTTTTGAGGTATTGGAAATGATTCCCCAAAGGAAGAAGAATAAGTGTGTGACCTTTTAAATTTTGCCATTGGTGCCAAGCCTTGTCTATTTACAATTCTTGCTAAAACCTGCCAACCCCATGTGTGTGTAGTTGAAGTCTAGTTTTTTTTGGCTCATAGGCCATTATTGTCTTCATTACAGGGCCAGGACTACTGGGTATTCGATTCCCAGACTAAATGAATTACCGTATTTGTTCTTAAAGAGGTGATATAATTTATCATGTGGAAGTATTTTGAGGTGTAGTAGGCAGAAAAATTGTGTAAAAGTACAAGACTTATCTATTTTACAGTTATTAACTATTGTCAATACATGCCAATATTTTCTTGTTTTCAGATCATACCCATCTCCAAAATGTCACACAGTTGTTTTTGAGATACCTTAATCTAGCTAATTTCTTTCTGTTTTCAGAAGCTTTAAAAGCAACTGCTGTTGAATTTTCAGCTGTATTATGCTTTTAGGTAATTATGCGAAGTGGCCAGCCACTCACTGGCACGAACGGGAGGAGGTGCAAGGAAGATGAGAAGCTCATCAATGCTACCCTCAGGGCAGGAAAGCGTGGCTACATCATTGACACCCGCTCTCTGAACGTGGCTCAGCAAGCTAGAGCCAAAGGAGGCGGCTTTGAACAAGAAGCTCATTATCCTCAGTGGAGGCGAATTCATAAGTCCATTGAGAGGTAAAAGATTCCGGAGATAGTAAGAACTCTTTTCTTTTTTTTCCTCTTCTTTTTTTTAATTTCAGAATGTTATGGGGATACAAACGTTTCGGTTACATAAATTGCATTTGTACCGTTTGAGTCAAAGTTATAAGTGTGCTCATCACCCATTTACCCAGCCCGTCATCCCCCCTCTCACCTGATTGATTTCCAATGAATGTTATTTCCATATGTGCACATAAGCGCTGATCAATTAGTTCCAATTTAATGGTGAGTACATGTGGTGTTTGTTTTTCCATTCTTGCGATATACTTCACTTAGAAGAATGGTCTCTAGTTCCATCTTAATACAAGAGGTATCAGTTCACCATTTTTTTTATAGCAGCACAATTCACAATTGCAAAGATATGGAAACAACCCAAGGGCCCATCAGTACATGAGTGGATCGATAAAATGTATTTAGGACTCTTATTTGAAGCTAATTAGAGTAGGTAAGTCCTTAGCCGTCCCGAAAATCAAAGTGCTCAAATGAACCTGCACATTAATGTAGCGTCAGTTACTGGCTGGACATCTTACTGTGTCTTGGTTTTTTGGGGTTTTTTGAGTCAGCTTTACCAAGGTTTAAATGACAAAAATTATATATATTTATGATGTACAGTGTACTGTTTTGATAAATGCATACATTGTGAAATGATTAAATCAAGCTAATTAACGTGTCTGTCAGTGAACATACTTATTTTTTTGGTGTGGTGACCATTTAAGATCTATGCTCTTAGCCATTTTCAAGTCTACAATACGTTGTTATTAACGGTAGTCACCATCTTGTACAGTAGATCTCCAAACGTATTCCTCCTGTTTTCTCCATCAATACAGTCTGTTGTTTATGCTTTAAGCGGGAGATGTTTGAGTGCTTCTGGGCAGGTGGGAGGGAGCTGGAGCTAAAAAACAGTGGGATCCAAGCTGGCTTCAGGCATCGCTGCTGATGGCGCCAGGTGTCTAGTGTTAGATCAGTGGGAATAGGATTGCAGCTGTGATCTGTCACAAGGTGCAGGGCTCTGGCCCTGTCTCCTCGTCAGATCATGTAGCTACGTGAACTGGGCTTAATCTTTTCAGATGAGGAACAGGTTACTACCATAGGCATTTTAAGTGTCTTTGCAACAATGTTTAAATGTTAGTTTTTCAAGCCTTAATCCTCAAGTTACTGTATGGTGGGGTAAATATTTTTATAGTATTAATATTTTGAACCACTTTTGCTCTTGGATATATTGGAGGCTGAATTTTTGGTTTGGTTTCTTCCTTTATCACTCTACATCCTGTTTTCTTTTTTAATTTTTTACTTTCTTTTTCTTATTTTTAAAAGATACCATATTCTTCAGGAGAGCTTAATCAAACTCGTGGAAGCTTGTAATGAGCAAGCACATAACATGGACCGATGGCTCAGTAAATTGGAGGCCTCTAATTGGCTGACGCACATCAAAGAGATTCTGACAACCGCCTGCCTGGCGGCTCAGTGCATCGACAGGTAACGTGCACGTCGGCGTTCCCGAACGGGACACGCGCTGATAGCCACGCTTGGTTCTTATCCAGACACGAGTTTATAGATTATGTTAAAGTTTGTGCCTGTTTCACATCCCATGATCAGATCATTTGTTAAACGTAAGATTGCCAACACCATTCACTTACTGATGAGTTAGGAGCCTAGAGTCTGGTGTTTAATAGATAATTAATGGTTGTTGAATGAATGCGTGCATATACAGATGAACCGTGACAGATGAACCATATACAATGAACCATGTACATATACAGATCTTCTATGACACAAATTTTTTAATTACTAAAGCAACTATTTTTTCCATAAAATCCTTAAATTATTATTTTACCAATTTTCTTAAGCTGTGAAAGAGTGAAAGCAAGTTTTTAAAATTTCTTCTCAGAGGACCAAATTTACCTCCTTACTTTTGAAATACCAGTGAAAGGAAGTGTGTAATTTTGTTACACAGCAAAATGATCCTTTATCATCTCTCAGACGTTAGGAACTACTTGATACGTGCCCTTGTATCTGGATCTCAAGTCGAGAAAGCCCACTGGTAGTGATGTGGAGTATATGAAGTGATTTTAGTTTATTCGCTCAGTTGAAGGCTGCTAATCCTTGAGACTTGAGGCAGAAGACTTGAACAGAGGCAGAGGATTGGTATAAACTATTGCAGAAGCTTAGAATGCCCTTTTTCAGAAGGGGATTCCTGCCGAAACAATAGGTAGGTGTAAGTGTTGTCGCCACGTGGTTGGATGGCACTTTTCTTTGAGACTTTAACTTGTTTTATTGATGCTTCCTTAGGGAAATATGTATGTAATTTTTTGTGGTTGGAGAGAACTTGATAATAGAATGGGTTGCTGAGATCATGTGGTAAGTTAGTGACAGAACCAAGAGCAGTTCGAGTCCCCTGGGGTCAGGATGACCAGGCTGTCATTGCTCTTTGTTTTAGGCATTAGGCGAAACTCATTCAGCTAATAAAATACGAGAATTAAAGACCAATGTTCTGTGGCAAGGAAACCACAGAATATTAACATCGTTGAGGGTTTTGTTTCTTTTTAACCTGAGTTTACCAGATTTCTCCTTACATTATGAGTACAGACACTTTTGTTTTCCTATGAAACATGAATTGTGATAAACATTTATCTCCACATTGTCTAAATTTTCACTGGCAGTAACAAGATAATGCAGATAAGACAAGCCGAGGTGCAGAACAGTTTCTGTTATCTCCGCCTTTGTTCAGTGTGGGCTGGCCATCTTAAACTGGGACTTCCAGACTCTTCTGAAGGTTCTGGGTTTGGATTTATTTTTCCATGTTTGGGTTCCCTTTTCTGATCTATTAATATATTAGCTTATTATTTACACCTCCATAAAGATTTGCCCTTACAATTAATTGCTGAAAATGTAAAAATAGAGTTTAAATTAATTGAATGAAATTCGTAATATCCCACAGATAATCAAGATATATATTCATTGTATATCAGAATCCTTAAAGTATTTGCTCCTACCCTTGATCCTAGTCCTTAGATTTTATCCTAAGAATGGAATTGTTAAGCTAACTGTAGGCGACTTTCGGGAGTTTGTTATTTTTAAATGAAGAACTTCCAAATAATTCAGCAAAAGACAAAAAAGCTAAGTACATCATCTACAGTGTAACAAACATCGGCGTAACCTAGATGTCCAACTACGGGATAAGTAAATTGTAGATCATCACTTAACATATTATATTAATACAAGGTATGATATACAGGCATACTGCAGAGAGAGTGTGGGTTCAGTTCCGGACCACCACAGTAAAGCAAATAACACAGTAGAGTGAGTCGTGTGAACTTTTTGGTTTCCAGTGTATGTAAAAGTTACGTTTACATCAATCATCTGAGCCTGCAGCGAGTGTAATCTTCTTGCTGGTGGAGGGCACGCCTCAGTCCCCATGGCCGCTGAGTGGTCAGTGCGGTGCTTCCTGCAGGCTCAGGTGGCCGTGGCAATTTCTTAAAAGAAGACAACAGTGAAGTTGCTGCATCAGTTGACTCCTCCTTTCATGGGAGATTTCTCTGTGTGATGCTGTTTGATAGTATTTTACCCACAGTAGAACTTCTTGCAGAATTGGAGTCAATATACTCAAACTCTGCTGCTGCCTTTTCAAGTAAGTTTATGTAATGTTCTAAATCCTTTGTTACTATTTCAACACTGTTCACAGCATCTTCACCAGAAGTAGGTTCCATCTCAAGAAACCACTTTCTTTGTTCATCCATGAGAAGCAACTCCTCTTCTGCCCAAGTTTTATCGTGAGATTGCAGCAATTCAGTCACACCTCAAGCTGCACTTCAAATTCTAGTTCTCTTGTGTTTCCACCACATCTGTAGTGACTTCCTCTACTGAAGTCTTGAACCCCTCAAAATTATCCATGAGGGTTGGAATCAGCTTCTTCCAAACTCCTGTTAAAGTTGGTACTTTGACCTCTTTCCATGAATCACACATGCTTTTAATGGCATCTAAAATGGTGAATTCTTTCCAGAAGGTTTTCAACTTACTTTGCCTAGAATCGTCAGAGGAATCTATGGTAGCTATGGCCTTATGAAATGTATTTGTTGAATGATAAGACTTTTCGATCCGTGGGCTACAGAATGGATGTTGTGTTAGCAGGCATGAAAACAACATTAATCTCCTTGTACAGTAGTACATCTCCATCAGAGCTCTTGGGTGACCAACTACATTGTCAGTGACCAGTAAGCCATTCAGTAAGCAAATGTGCTGTCATCCACGCTTTGTTGTTCCATTTATAGAGCACAGGCAGAGTAGATTTGGCATAATTCTTAAGGGCCCAAGGATTTTGAGAATACTAAATGATATTGGCTTTAATTTAAACTCATCAGCGGCATTAGCCCCTATCAAGAGAGTCAGCCTGTCCTTTGAAGCCTTGAGCCAGGCATTGACTTCTCCTCTCTTGCTATGAACGTCCTCGATGACATCTTCCAACAGAAAGCTGTTTTGCCTACATTGAAAATCTGTTGTTTGGTGTAGCCACTTTCATCATGACCGTAGGTCTGCTGGATAGCTTGATACCGCTTGTACGTCAGCACTTGCTGCTTCACCTTACACTTTTCTATTAGGGAGACGGCTTCTTTCCTTAAACCTCTTGAAGCAACCTCTGCTAGCTTCCAACTCTTCCTCTTCACCTTCGTCACTTCTCTCAGCCTTCGTAGAATTGAGGAGAGTTAGGACCTTGTTCTGGTTTAGGCTTTGGTTTAAGGGAAAGTCGTGGCTGGTTTGACCTTCTATCTGGCTACTAAAACTTTCTCCATATCAACAATAGGCTGTTTTGCTTTCTTAGCATTTGTGTGTTCACAGGAATAGCACTTCTAATTTCTTTCAAGAATGTTTCCTTTGCATTCACAACTTGACTAAAAATTTGGAGTAAGAAGCTCAGCTTTTGGCCTGTCTCAGCTTTCGATATGCCTTCCTCACTAAGCTTAATTATTTCTAGCTTGTGATTTAAAGTGAGGGAGGTACAAGTCTTCCTTTCACTTGAATACTTACAGGCCTTTGTAGGGTTATTAATTGGCCTAAATTTCAATATTTTTGTGTCTCAGGGAATGGGGGCTTTAGGAGAGGGAGAGAGACAGGGAAACAGTAGGTTGGTGGAGCAGTCAGAACACACATTTAGCAGGTTAAGTTTGCTGTCTTACATGAACATGGTTTACGGTGCCCCAAAACAATTACAATAGTAATATCCAAAATGCTGATCACAGGCCAAGAGCAGTGGCTCACGCCTGTAATCTTAGTGTTCTGGGAGGCCGAGGCAGGAGGATCGCTTGAGCCCAGGAGTTTGAGGTTGCTGTGAGCTAGGCTGACTCCATGGCCTGGGCAATAGGGCGGCGGGACTCTTTCTC